CTATTGAACTGCCCTCTAGACTAGCGGTTCTCAATCTATGGGTCGCGACTCTTTTGTGTGTCTAACAACTCTTTTGCAGGGGTCGCCTAAGACCATCGGAAAATACATATTCACTGAAGTTATGAAGTAGCAGCAAAAATAATATCTTGGTTAGGTGTCGCCAAAACACGGGCAGCTGGATTAAAGGGCCGAGGCGTTAGAAAGGCTCTCCTCCGAACTTCTACCTGATATTATGGCGGCCACGCAAATAGCCTAACAGGGCCTCAGTCGTGTGTAAAATGCGGACTTTCTGCCAAGGAACAAATTGCGGTAAAACTAGGATTACTTGACAATTTCAAGAGACGCAACACTGCAGACGATAGTACCAGACGAGAATAGTGACCGTTGACAATTTCGAGACACGCAACATACAGACGATAATAGCCACATGGCGGGTAGACCACGCGCTTCGACACAGATTAGCGTCGTTGTTGTCCTCACACTTTTCGGCATGCGCAAAACGCGGTTAAACTCACCGCCGACAGTTTCCCCTGCGCCGCTACGCGCGTCGCGGATGGGGATCTAAACCAGATGCCTGGGATTCACAAGCAAATACATTAGAGGAAGTTGCATGAGATGCGGTAGCTGCTGCTCGTGAGTCCCAGCCATCTAGTTTCGCCCCCCCCCCCCCCCATCCGCGTAGCGAAGCGGGGGATACGGTCAGCGGTGCGGCATAGTCGCAGAAACAGGTCCGAAATTAACATATCGCTGAAACCCTGTTATAGTATTTGTTTCGTTATTTGGAGCCGATCCTAGTTTTGCCGCGATTTGTTCCTTGTCAGAAAGTCCACTTTTTACACACGACTGAGGCCCTGTTAGGCTTTTTGCTTGGCCGCCATAATATCGGGTAGAAGTTCGGAGGAGAGCCAGTAATTGGTGTCTCCGTTATGGGTACCCCCAATAAAAACTTCTTTAGGGGTTGAAAGGCATTTCTAGTATTTGTCCTATTGAACTGCCCTCTAGAATCGCGGTTCTCAGTCTATGGGTCGTGACTCTTTTGTGTGTCGAACAACTCTTTTGAAGGGATCGCCTAAGACCATCAGAAAACAAATATTCACTGAAGTTATGAAGTAGCAGCAAAAATAATATTATGTTTGGGGGTCGCCACAACAAGGGCAACTGGATTAAAGGGTCGCGGCGTTAGAAAGGTTGAGAACCATTGCTTTTGAATGTGATTTTGCGTTCAAGGAGTGCCTTGATGTATGTTTTTAGCTTAGCTGTAGTTCAGGAATGTACATATAGATTTATATTTGAAGCAGAAGGGTTTTCACCATTTGTCCGTGTTACATGCACATATGTGGGGATTTGTTACTCACCCGATTGATTTACATAAATGTTAGTATGCAATACGCAAACACTGTCGCTCAACATGTAATTGCTGTTTTTATTTCTCGTTTATGTCAATCCTGGTAAAGTAATATGATGGAAAGTAAAGTGTTGAATGTTGAATTTAGAGTCTACATATCATCGCTCGGGGCAGCGCTCTGTCTCCATCTTCAGCTGCAAACATAGAATTACAATTCCGAAAGTACCCGTATCAGTCAAATTGTATACGGGTCTTGTCCTTCTCTTGGAGTGTTGAGCGTCGGCCAAATTCCCTGGTCAGTCTTGGCAGAACATTCCCCCGGAGTTTACAGACGGCGAAGAAGAAAGAAGGTATCGTGGAAATGGTGACACCGGGTGAAGTGACAAAAGAGGATGAGGAGAAGAAGACATCCTTAGATGACAGGAAAAATCGTTGAGACAGTGTTGCAGTAAATTAGCTAGCAGGAGGAAGCTACAGCAGCTGACATAATCTACTAGCATAAGTGGCGATAGACTGCGTCAAGGAAAACGGCAAAATACGTGAAGCGGTCGTTTTTGAAAGACTTTCAAAAACTAAGAACTGTAAGTTGTGACTCTTTAATTTAGGTCGACCTATCTACATATGTGTAATTACTTATCGATTAACGCTTGCGTGTGCGTGCGTGTGTATGTGTTGCTTCTTCCTATTATCGATATGACTGTTGAGATCATTGTTTCCTACAGTATTTTGTTTGGTTTGTTTTTCTATTTACAGATTTTTGTTGCCACAGCACTGATGATCTTCTTTGGAACAACCAAATGCGGCCCAGACAATACTCTTCTGAGACTACAAGAGTTTTGCCACATTCTCTTGCAAAGTAAGCCGGACATCATTCAGTGCTCCGAGAAACCCAGCAGTTACAACATGAAAGGCAGCAAGGCAGCGTTGTCCTACATGTGTTGCCTTGGCTACTTCAAAGATGTCACTAACATCTACAAGCAATATCTCAGCAGCGATTTCGACCAGTACTTAGCAAGTATGACCTCGGACAAACAAATGGCCAGCATTGGCAATTTCGTGATTATGTGTAAGAATGAGACTAAAACGTTGAACACCACTGACTTTTCCTATTGGTGTTCAAATGGAAAGACATCAGATGTGTGCTTTGCACGTTGATGTGATCATAAAACACTCTTCTTCTATTTCTTATGTAATCTCTAGGATAAGCTCTACGAGTATGCTGATAGATTAGCTGATGCTACTCCTCTAGCATCGAGTTATTATAGGATAAAGCAGATGTGTGGAAGACTCTATGGGTTCAAATGAACAGTGCAAAAGAACATATAGGGAATCAATACCTTGCAAGACTAATTCAACCGGGGGAGGGGGAGGGAGGATGGTGAGTAGAGGTTCTGAAAGATATTTAACATAGAAAGGGAAACAGAGACGAACTTCTAATCAGGTTGCAACTGGTACCATTAGCAGGTCAACGTTTCGTTGGTTACTGAAGAAGGGAACGGTGCACGTGTGGGAATGTCGCTAGTGCAGTAATGCCAGTTCTTGGTTTATTCATTCATTCATTCTGTTATCTCGACGAATGTTGGAAGAAGAAGGACTTTTTAAAAAAAGGTGGGGGAGGGGAAAAGTATCGCCTTTGTTCTCTTTCCAATACGTAGTATAATGAGGTCTTCCTTTGTTGACGTGACATTTTACACCACCAGGACACCACACCGAATGACAAACATTTAGTGACACAAAGTGCCACGATTCGGATCAGGATCATCCTGGGACATTTTTCCAAAAACCCTGTTCAACCCACATGTTGGGTTGTATTCGGTTCCCTAGTAAGCGGGGCTTTGAAAAAAACATCAACGAAAAATGACGTCCCACTTGGAAACGTGGTTTAAACAAAACTAATCGTTTGTTGTCCATTAACGTATCCCACTTGGAAAGACATTACAGGTGTGCGTTTAACGCTAGGTTGATCAGAAAACATTCTCATTCTCTTCCTTTGGAGGTGGAATGTAATAATCTTCCGTGTGCTCTTTCGAATGCACAGTATAAGTTTTTTTTTTTTTAAAGAGCTATACTTATGCGGTCGAATGATGGATAGAGGAAGACAACGAGACAAGATTCTTGTCAGTCTTGTTGCATAGCATGGAGGTGTGTCGGCACACGAACTAATACATGCTGCAGGAGAGAGCAGATTGTAAAATCGCTCACGCCAGTCGGCAAGGCACCTGATGAAGATGATGATGACCTAATGCACTCGTTCCATATTTTGTGTGTCTTCCCTCACTTTTTGTTTATTGTGATGCTACAGCGTGGCTTCCCTTGGCTGCTGATACCAGGCGTTCTTATAAAAGGGCCAAACCACTCTGAAATATGGTCTTGTAAAAACATACTCCATCTTAACAGCATCATGGGGCCCTGGGTAAATCAATGGCCTGGGGCCCCAACAACAACCACTTTTTTTTTTTTGGTTAGTTGCGTATCTCTTACAGGACGTTGCAGAACCAACCCCCAGCAGCCCCTACCAAAACGATGTGAAAGCAGGTGCAAGAGTGAAAACTTGTCACACATTTTCAACTTGCATACTAAACCAATGAATAATGTCACGTGAGCCACGAGGTAATAGAACCTGAAGGTCTACGTACACTGAATTCCCATCATCATCATGCAGCAGATCCTTAGCTCTCATCACGGTCTGCCTGAAAGAAACTCTGTCTCTGCCCAGCTCTCCCGCCTCGTGTACTTTCATTTTCAATGAGTTACTTATATCCAGTACCCATCTTCGTGTTGTTCGGCCCCTGCCCCTCCTTCCTGGTATGATACCTTCTACTATAATTTCCCCCAGTCCTTGATATATATATTAGGTTTGAGGCGGGTCTTATCTCACCCACAGCCCTCATATTTTCTTTGTGTCGGCGCTTCTGGTGAGCCACACTCGTAAGCTATTATTAAACTGAAATAACAGCACTGTTGAATTTCAGAGTAAGGAAGAATGCACCATAACTCTGTGTTTACTGGATAAAAATAGCAAGCTAGGAATTTTAACAACACTCTCCTTATCTCGCTAACAAATCAAAGTCGAGAGGATCGACTTCACTACACCGGGTTTTATCACATATGGCTATGTCTCTCTCCGCAGAACAGCTACTCGCCTGCCGAGAGCATCGCACAGAGTCCGAACTCCGTAGCTTCGTCGACGATCCTTATGGAATAGAATAAACTTAGTCAAAGTCCCCGTTTGGGTTCCGGGGCTCTAGTTTTCGGGGGGGGGGGGGGTATTGCTCCACTACAAGCATCTCAACTAATTAGTTGGCTGAACCGGACTACGCGGTGACCGGGTGACGAACTCCTTGAGGTTCGGGTTCACGCCCGGGGGTAGGCAGAAAAGCCACATTTTCTCCCAGATTTACGGTATCTGTCATGGAGTAAAGGCAGAAGGGTTGCGATATTCATAATACAGAGCCTTAGGGTTAACAACTCATGGCTTCTGGATACTTAAAAAAGGGGGGTATAACTTAACACAGAAAATCAATTTTGACTGGGGTTAAGGTTAAGCTGATGCTTTGTTTCATATTTATGTATTTTTATAAGTTATTACTATATGTATTTATTATAAAAATTAAACGATAGCTGCTCCGAAGGTCTTGTCTTCTAATCTACATTCAGTTAGATATTTTCATAATTGATCTTGTGTTAAGGTTATTTGCGTATCCTTTACAGGACGTTGCAGAACCAACCCTTACAGCCCCTGGCTGTTGTGTTGTTTTTCTAGGCAAATTTACGTCCAGTAGATAAACCCGATCTAAAATGGGTATCAGGAAAGTTAATAGCGAATAACGACGGTTCACGTATTTTTTTTTTTTTTAACCAAATCACCCACATCATCCATCTAGTGTAGATTGGCAAATAAGCAGATAGACTGAGCAGAAATCCCAGTTTAACTGTTACACATGGTTTTAGCTTGTTAAATTCTGTAACTGTAATGTCACATGTATGAAGTTGACAGTGAACTTCTCTGCTGCACTGAAATGTTACCCGTCGACGCCCATTTGATATTAAACATGACTTAACGTGGTTTTTAAATATTTCGTAATTTATGTTCTGAGCCACACACACACAAAAAATTATTATATTTCAATAAATATTATTCTGCTCCCACAGTTTTTCTTGTTATGGGTTCGACGACACTAAATACCCCCTTAAGTGTTTGTGTTTGAACATATACTGTGTGTTTTTGTCGTTGTCGCTTTGTTTCTTTTTGTTACTGGTGTAATTCACTGTACCACTATAAAAGTGTTTGTATTTGAACACATATCGGTTGCTCGTCTTTTTAGTTCAAAGTTTTTGTATCTGAACACATATTTGCTTTTGCGTTTCTTTTTCTTGTAATTGATCTATTGATGTGGATACAGTACAAAGTAGTAACGGCCAGGTAAAAATCTGCCAACCACAGACATAGGGAATACGAGAGTAAACTATATGGGAATCGCTGTGTGCAAAGTACACACACTACGACTTAACAATTCGAGATCATTCGTTTGCCGTAGAGTTGGAATCACCCGAATAATCAACTGCCCACCTAACATCTTTAGGTATCCATCGATTTTCGTGAATTTATTTCCCATGTTATGTCAGTGGCCACAGGGTTACCCCAACAATTATTTACGTTGTATTATCTTCTTATTATAGTTCATGATTTGTAGTAACTGCTCCGATCGACGATGAACTGAAATTCTAGTTGCGGACTGTTTGTATTGGCACTGCTGGCAGCATTCTTATGAATTTATTATGCGTGTGTCTGTGCTCCCCGGGGGCGTGTTACCTACCGAGATATCACGCCCAGCTGTTTAGAATTTTCTTTCTCGGTCTGCCATCGTCTTTTTTCTCTTTTTAACTTTCTGCTGCCAAGGTGTACTCCACTTGGCTTCGGAATATCCTCCTGAAGATACGACCAAAGATTCAATGCCTTTTTCTATTGGGAGTAATCAGCTCTCACGAATGGGGTTTTCATCATCTTTTTATAAAACCACATCTCAGCAGTTTCCATAGCATTTTTTCTTTAAAGGGCTGACTATCCATGATTCACTTCTGTACACTTGCAGAATTCGTATCTCGTCACTAACAAAGCAGATACAATGACGAATGTAACTAAACAAGACCCTATCGGTACAGTTGGGGGATGAAGTGCCTCCTTTCCATAGCACAAATACTGGACAATAATGAAGAAACCATGAGCTGCCCATGTGGGATGATTCCTCCTTCGACCTGAATTGTTGAAAGAAAATGTAGTACGAATACTATGGGGGTTTGGGGGGGGGGGGGGTGGGTATGCCTCGGAAGCTGCAGGATAAGAAAATCCCCCTGACGGAGTTTCCCTCATAGACCAGCTGTCAACCAAGTTTAAGGGCTTTGTCCAGCCTGCAGGAACTGGACCCTGTTTCAAAAATGATCTTGGCTCCCAGGTCGACCCAGCCTTAAATGGTAGTAGGTAAAGCCAGGAAAGTAAAGGCGGCCGGTGTGATGTTGACTACATCACCCATCGAGTGCCGATTGGTCTATAAATATAGATCTAGCTCTATATGCAAATACGACTGAGGGTTAGGAAAATGTTCCTTTACTTATCTAATTAGTTACTTCAGCAACACACGTTGGAGTAAAGTAACTTCAGCAACTCACGTTGGAGTAAAGTTACTTCAGCAACACACGTTGGAGTAAAGTAACTTCAGCAACACACGTTGGAGTAAAGTTACTTCAGCAACACACGTTGGAGTAAAGTTACTTCAGCAACACACGTTGGAGTAAAGTTACTTCAGCAACACACGTTGGAGTAAAATTACTTCAGCAACACACGTTGGAGTAAAGTTACTTCAGCAACACACGTTGGAGTAAAGTTACTTCAGCAACACACGTTGGAGTAAAGTTACTTCAGCAACACACGTTGGAGTAAAGCCTTGTGAAGAATGTCTTCGCCGTCACCGAAGTCAAGCTAAAAGATCTTATAACCTACTTGTCATAGAATGTTGAATTACGAATCGACATCAAAACACTGGGGAAACTCTCATAAGGGCTCTGTCTCCACCTTCAGCAGCAAGCGAAGAGTTCCAATTCTAGTGGCACCAGTAACTGTCTGATTGTATATCCGTCCCGCCTCTCCCTTGAGTGTT